TTTATAAATCAGAAATTCCAAAAATTCGAAAGATTTAGACTCTTAATATGTATAAATTTTAGAAAATCTGAAAAGATTTAGAAAGTGTGGGAAAAATGTGGTAGACCTAGAAATCTTGAAAATATTGGAAAAGGTTGAATTTCAAAGTTCTGGTATAACTTGAGCCTGATAATTTTAGAAATTTTGGAAAATGTGGAAATTCTGGAAATTTTGAAAATTTTTCACATTACATTACGAAAATTCCCAAAAAATAAAGGAAAATAAAAAAATATTAAATCTCCAAATTTCAAAAGTTTACACAATCTTCAGATTATAGTTATTCTAAAAGTTACAAAGTTTCCAAATGTTTGAAATATTTAAAAAGTTTGCGAATTGTAAAGACACTAAAGATGCTAAATAAACTAAAGCTTTAGGTTCTAAATAGAAGAAATATCCAACAAAATCTTTAAAATTGTAAAGGTCTTGGAAGTATTAATGTTCCTAGAAATTATAAAAATTCTAAACTTTATAAAATATCTAGTAATTCTGAAGTATCCAAAATTTCCGAAAATTGTTAAGACTCTAAGAACTCTGAAAACTCTATAGATTCTAAATTGAGGTTTTTTAAAATTCTGTTCCAAATATTTTAAAGATTCTAAAAACTCTAAACAATTGAAAAATCGTACAAGTATTGGGAGTCTTGAACACTGTAATTATTATCTTACACATCTCAGAGATTCTAAAGATTCCACAGATTCCAAATATTTAAAAATTTGAAAGATGATAAAAATCCTAAAGATCTAAAAATATTTAAAATTATAGAGATACTGAAGTATGTAAAAATAATGAAAATCTGAAAGCTCTAAAGATTATAGAAATTCTAGTGATTCTAGATTCTAGAGATTATAAAGATTCCAAAGTTTCCAGTGGTTTGAAAGATTCAAAAAGTATAAAAGCTTACACGGATTACATACACTAGACATTGCGAATTGTAAAGACACTTAAGATTCTAAATAAACTAAAGTTCTAATGTTCTAAATATAAAAAAGATCCAATAAAATCTTAAAAATTTTAAAGAACCTAGGGGTACTAATAATTCTAGAAATTGCAGAAATTTTAGGTTTTGTGTTATTTATAAAAGACTCTAAAGAGCTTAAAGACTAGTTAAATGCTCTAAAGAGTAAAGATTTTAAAGGCTCTAAGAAATTCCAAAAAGCCAAAGATTCTAAAACTTGTAAAAATCGCGTAAATTCTTAAAATGCCAAAGAGTTTTAAGAAAACAAAAATCTTAAAAACCTAAAAATCGTAAAGATCGGAAAAATGCTTTCTTTAATTTTTATAAATTAGAGATTCCAAAAATTCCCAAGACTTTCACTCGAGATCAATAAATTTTAGAAAATCTGAAAAAATTCAGAAAGTGCGGGGAAAATGTGGTACACCTAGAAATCTTGAAAATATTGGAAAAGGTTGAATTTTAAAACTCTGGAGCCTGATAATTTTAGAAATTTTTGGAAAATGTGAAAATTCTAATCATTCTGTCTACTTCGAAAAATCTGAAAAATTGGATTAATCTGCAAAATCTGAACATTCTGGAAATTTTGCAAATTACGAAAATTCCCAAAAATTAAAGGAAAATCAAAAAATATTAAATCTCAAAATTTCAGAAGTTTACATAATCTTAGGATTATAGATATTCTAAAAATTCCAAAGTTTCCAAATGTTTGAAATATTTAAAAGGTTTTAGACCTTTCAAAAATTTTAAAGATGCATTCTAAAAATTTTCAAGTATTCGTACGCCAGAATTTGCGAATTGTAAAATTTTAGGTTCTAAATAGAAGAAACATCGAAAAAAATCTTTAAAATTGTAAAGATCTTCGAAGTATTAATGTTCCGAGAAATTATAAAAATTCTAAAGTTTATAAAATTTCTAGTAATTTTGAAGTATCCAAAATTTCCGAAAATTGTTAAGACTCTAAGGACTCTGAAAACTGTTTTTTTAAAATTCTGTTCCAAATATTTTAAAGATTCTAAAAACTCTAAACAATTGAAAAATCGTACACAAATATTGGGAGTCTTGAAGACTGTAATTATTATCTTACACATCTCAGAGATTCTAAAGATTCCACAGATTCCAAATATTTAAAAATTTGAAAGATGATAAAAATCCTAAAGATCTAAAAATATTTAAAATTATAGAGATACTGAAGTTTGTAAAAATAATGAAAATCTGAAAACTCTAAAGATTATAGAAATTCTAGTGATTATAAAGATTCCAAAGTTTCCAGTAGTTTGAAAGATTCAAAAAGTATAAAAGCTTACACGGATTACATACACTAGACATTGTGAATTGTAAAGACACTTATTAGACCCGATTTATTGAAAGGTAATTAAAGTTAATTCGCGATTAACTTTTAATTGAGGTCCGAGATTTTAAAAATTCCAAAGAGTTTAAAGAAAACAAAAATCTTAAAAACCTAAAAATCGTAAATATTGGAAAAATGCTTTTTGTAATTTTTATAAATCAGAGATTCCAAAAATTCCAAAGATTTAGGGCCGGTTTATAGAACAGCGAATTAAATATTTAATCCCCGATTAGTTTAACAGAGGATTAAAATGTGGAATATGAGGCCGTGATTGGTTAAAACCTGCACGTTGCCTAGCGACGAACCTCAATTAAAAGTTAATCGCGAATTAACTTTAACTTCGCTTTCTGTAAATTGGGTCTTAGACTTTCAAATCTATAAATTTTACAAAATCTGAAAAAATTTAGAAAGTGTGGGAAAAATGTGGTAGACCTAGAAATCTTGAAAATATTGGAAAATGTTGAATTTCAAAATTCTGGTATAACTGGAGCCTGATAATTTTATAAATTTTGGAAAATATGGAAATTCGGGAAATTTTGAAAATTTTTCAAATTACGAAAATTCCCAAAAATTAAAGGAAAATAAAAAATATTAAATCTCAAAATTTCAAAAGTTTACACAATCTTAAGATTGTAGATATTCTAAAAATTCCAAAGTTTCCAAATGTTTGAAATATTTAAAAGGTTTCAAACCTTTGAAAAATTCTAAAGACTCGATACATTCTAAAAATCTCATAGTTTTCATACACTAGAATCTGCGAATTGTAAAGACACAAAAGATGCTAAGTCAACTAAAGTTTTAGGTTCTAAATAGAAGAAACATCTAACAAAATCTTTAAAATTGTGAAGATGTTGAAATTATTAATGTTCGTACAAATTATAAAAATTCTAAACTTTATAAAATTTCTAGTAATTCTGAAGTATCCAAAAGGATTGTTAAGATTTTAAGGATTCTAAATACTTTAAGGACTCAAACATTAAAAATTTTTTTTTTAATTCTGTTCCAAATATTTCAAAAATTCTATAATTTGTAAAAACTCATGAATTCTTAATGTGACAAAAATTTTAAAGATTCCAAAAACTCTAAACAAAAGAAAACTCCTAAAAATCTGAAAAATGTTTCCTTTAATTTTTATAAATCCTACAAATATTAGGGGTCTGGAACACCCTAATTATTATTATCTTACACATTCTTAGAGATTCTAAAGATTCCAGTAATTCCAAAAATTTCAAAGATTTAAAGACTCTTGGGGTCTATTAATTTTAGAAATCAGGAACTTTGGGAATTTCAAAAATTTACCACTCTTCAAAAATTCTAGAAATTCTGAACATTTTACTGAATGCGTGAAAATGTTCCAAATAGTGGGAAAGTTCAAAGGTTTCTCTAAATTTCAAAGATTTCGAGGATTCCAAAGGTGCCAAAACTTTAAGGAGTGTAGTAATACTAAATTGGAAAACTGACTATATAGATGAAAAAAAAAGAATTATCAAGTTAAAATTGATAATAATTTTTCGAAGTTGTATTTTTTCGGCTGTACGTTAGGAGCTAGGGAAATTTTGTCGAAATAACTTTCAACCAATTTTTTCCTCCCAATTATAAGACATGAAAATTTAGTGGTACGTTTCGAGTTTTAATTGATCATTTGGATTTTTTTTTATTCAAGGATAGACTATTGTAATTAAACTATATTTTAATTTGTTTATAATTGTTAAACATACATCTCTCTTATTTTTGCCGTTTCTGCGAAGGTGGTATTAACAGATACTGGTAGTTGTATATTTCTGTGTATTATTTAGGGTAAATCAGTAATATAAAGATAAAGAGAACGGTCCTCAAATCGAACCTAGATACATATATTTTTGGTTATAAGCATATAAAAATTCTGAAAATTAAAATTCGTCTTTGATTTCAAGTTGGAACAAATCAATTGAATACTGTATGTCTAAAGCAAAATTTTCTTCCAAAAAATAGGCATATTGTGATAAAGTACTATTCAAAATAACAGTAAATTTGGGATTTTAGTAACAGGTTTGTTTGCACATATCGGTGGTACTGCAATAGAGGGGATTTACTACATACAAAATTTGACAATAATCGATCTTGTAGTTTCGGAGATTATCTGTCTAATAAAAATACGGGTAAATGGCAAACAGACGGAAACGGGCGACCTATTTTTCGTACTCGTGGGGTTATGAAACGTCGAAAACTATGAAAGTAGCCAGTCGTCGAATAAACTCGATTTTAACTTATCTCTCGGGAAGTAAAAACGAACATTCTTTGAACTTGAATTCACTTTTTATATTGAAGGATAAAAAATTTACCGAATTGACTTCTACAAGTTCTAATGATTTGATTACATTACCTGCAACAAATGAAAAATCTTATCTTGTCTATGACTCAGTCAATAAATAGGAAATACATCTTCTAATTTGTTTAAAGGGTTATTTTTATCTTTTATCACTCTAACGAGTATTTAATGTATTAAAATGTATCAAAAACATGCCGATTCAAGATGCTAATTCAGTATTTATAAGTTTACATTACATAATTGTACATTTCTGTCATTCATTCTCTTTTCTCACTTCTGTCCCGTCGCATTTACTTTTGTCGTTCACACCCATGGCCAACCCAAGTAAAACAACATTTCCGTTGTTACAGATGGCCTGTGGACCGGTGGGTTGTGTAACATAATAACACGAAAAAATTCGTTGAGAGGGCGGCAGACTGAGGCAGTTTTTTGCTTGCAGGCATGTATGACGGCAACGAACACACTCCTAAGCTACTCCAATGTTCTCACACAGTATGCCTCCACTGTCTGACGAAGATTGCAGCCTCTCAAACCAGAGACACCGGCTCCTTTAGATGTCCAATATGCAGAGAATTAATAAACATACCACGAGGGGGCGTCTCTGCGCTACCGCCTTCTTTCTTGGTGAATCAACTACTAGACCTAATGTCGAGACAGAGGAGAGAAGTCATACCCAAATGCTCGGTCCACATCAACCAGGAACTACTATTTTGCGAAACGTGCGATACCGTATTCTGCACTTTGTGTACCGAAGGATCGCATAATGATACGACGAACAGCTGCGAGCATACTATTATTCCGTTTTCGATTGCCATCAAGAGGATGTCGGAGATTTTGTTGTATAAGGCCAACGAGTGCATTTCTAAGGTGATTACGAGAATTAAAAAAAAAAAAAGATTATTTTTGTATTAATGGAATAAAGTTTTTATTATGATTACTCTTGATATAGTTAACGCAAGCACAGGAGGGAGTTAGTTCAGAGTTGGAAAGACTTGATGCCGCTAAAGAGAATTGTTTAGATCAAATTAACGCAACATTCCAACGGATACAAGCTTACATGGATAATAGGAAGAAAGAAATCATTGATGCGTTGAAGACGACGTGTGCAGAGAAGAAAAGAGTGCTGGAAGAACAGCATTCGTTGATTGAATGTGAGAAAAATAAGGTAAATATTGGTGTTAATTCACGCAATTTCTTTAACGTAATAGCAGTGTACAATGCGTTTTCAAGCATAAAATGTGAATTCATACTTTTTACGGATTTTTTTATTTAAAAAGTTGCAGTAGGCAGTGAAACGGTTATTACGTGAAATGTCCAATTTAATTGTCTCGTACTAACTAGTATCTTTTACGGTGGGTGGTAACTGATACTTAGTTGACACTTAATTGACCTTTATGAACCACATACAATGTACGCATTTTTTTTCTGCGTCATGATTTAATTTTTCGCTGTCGGCTCTGATTCACCATGATGGAACTACTTACACAAAAAAATAAATCCGAAAACCTTTTAAATACGTAGATTTCTTTTACGTTTTTAGATTTGTTTAGTAAAATGGTTAAATACGTGATATTGCGTTACTATTTTAAATTTTTTAAAATGTAAATTTCAGTGTACATTTCGCTTCAACTTAAATTTATTGCATCCGTCGTAGAGATCCAAATTTTTTCATATCATATTAAATTTGGAAAATGGTAACGAAAATGAGTTATAGTTTTAGTCTGAATTTAAACTTCAGTATATTCCAAATAAACCGATCGTTTTTCTTGCTGGTATCATTAAAGTTGCTTCCCGTAAAATCAAGGTGAGTAAATAATTTCCTTTTAATAATTGGGCCATTAACTGTATTTAAAGAAATTGTCGTTCATAAAGGAACTTCTATTAATAAATTTTATCAAACGTTTCCGGGTTTAGGCGTCAAAATGAACATGAAAACAATGAAAATGATTTCAGAATTTTATAGTGCTATGTCAACATTTAATAGTTGAAATTTAAAGGTTGTTAAAAAATAATGAGCCAATCAGATTTACGAATTTAACTCGTTACTATGGAAATTTGTAATTTAATACCCTTTAAATTTAACAGGTTTGATTCAGAACTGCCCCTATTAGGGGAAAAATAAAAAAAAAAAGATTTTGGCAAATGACCTACTCTCTAAGAAAATAAAGGGCGGGCGGATGTTGTTAGTACTTGGTAAGCCAGAAGGTATACCCTCGAAGAAAATAAAGTGTGGGTGGGCGGGGCCAACACTTGCCAAGGTAAGACAGATTTTGCCAACTAATATACCCTCTACCCATTATTTTCTTAGAGGGTATGTCATTTGGCAAAATCAGTTTTATCTTGGCAAGTACTAGCCCCGCCCACCCTTCTTTTATTTTCTTAGAAGATACATCATTGTCCAAAATCAGTTTTATCTTAGCAAATACTAGCCCCGCCCATCCCTCCTCTTCTCATTCGTTAGACTAATTTCATTTCTGGGGTGGGCGTGGCTAATTATGTTCTTCTGCCGAGTGGGAGTGGAAACTACGAAGAATCTAGGATGTGAACAATGTTTTTTTAAAAAAAAAAAGCGCTTACTTTTTTGTTATACTGTCTGCCATCAAATTTATTTCTTATTTCATGTACTTGACCTAACATGACCTGATTTCTTTATTGTTTTAATTTAATGATTATTTCCTTTTTATCTACGAAATTTTCATAGCAAGCTATTTTGACGAAACTGTAAAAGTTGCTGCTTTTTAATTAGCGATTTTGGAAAAACGATAGGAATTTCCGAAGAAACGAAGCCGAAAATGACTTCTGGATATTGAAATCTTCAACAAAATGTCTTCAACTAAATTTCGGAAATAGTTGAAAAGTTGTCGAAAATGTCAAAAGTGCCAAAATCAGTCTTATCTTATCAATTACTAGCCCCGCCCACCCACCCTCTATTTTCTTAGAGGGTATGTCATTTGCCAAAATCAGTGATATCTTAGCAAGTACTAGCCCCGCCCACCCGCCCTTTATTTTCTTCGGAACTTGGAAATATCAGTTTTCTTTTCAACTATTTTCGGAAACAGTTGAAAAATGGTCGAAAATGTCAAAAGTGCCAAAATCAGACTTATCTTATCAAATTCTAGACACGCCCACCCCTCCTCTTCTCATTCTAACGACTAATAATTTTATTTCTTTTCAGTATAAGATCTTTCATTTCATTCAGATCCGATAAAATCAATCACTAAACAGGAGACAGGGCGGAGCTAATTATGTTCTTCTGCCGAGTGATAGTGGAAACTAATAATAGAAGCCGAAAATTACTTCTGGACATCGAAATCTACAAGAAAATGTCTTCAACTAATTTTCGGAAATATGTAGTTGAAAAATGGTCGAAAATGTCAAAAGTGCCAAAATCAGTCTTGTCTTATCAAATACTAGCCCCGCCCGCCCACCCTCTATTTTCTTATAGGGTCTGTCATTTGCCAAAATCAGTCTTATCTTATCAAGTACTAGCCCCGCCCACCCACCTTCTATTTTCTTGGAGAGTATTCCATTTGGAAATATCAGTTTTCTCTTCAACTATTTTCGGAAATAGTTGAAAAATGGTGGAAAATGTCAAAACTGCCCAAATCAGTCTTATATTATCAAATACTAGCCCCGCCTACCCACCCTCTATTTTCTTCGAGGGTATTCCATTTAGAAATATCAGTTTTCTCTTCAACTATTTTCGGAAATAGTTGAAAAATGGTGGAAAATGTCAAAAGTGCTTAAAAACAGTCTTATCTTTTCAAATACTAGCCCCGCCCACCCACCTTCTATTTTCTTGGAAAGCATTCCTTTTGGAAATATCAGTTTTATCTTCAACTCTTTTCGGAAATAGTTGAAAAATGGTGGAAAATGTCAAAAGTGCCAAAATCAGTCTTATTTTATCAAATACTAGCACCGCCCACCCACCCTCCATTTTCTTGGAGGGTATTCCATTTGGAAATATCAGTTTTCTCTTGCAACTATTTTCGGAAATAGTTGAAAAATGGTGGAAAATGTCAAAACTGCCCAAATCAGTCTTATCTTATCAAATACTAGCCCCGCCTACCCACCCTCTATTTTCTTCGAGGGTATTCCATTTAGAAATATCAGTTTTCTCTTCAACTATTTTCGGAAATAGTTGAAAAATGGTGGAAAATGTGAAAAGTGCTTAAAAACAGTCTTATCTTTTCAAATACTAGCCCCGCCCACCCACCTTCTATTTTCTTGGAAAGCATTCCTTTTGGAAATATCAGTTTTATCTTCAACTCTTTTCGGAAATAGTTGAAAAATGGTGGAAAATGTCAAAAGTGCCAAAATCAGTCTTATTTTATCAAATACTAGCACCGCCCACCCACCCTCTATTTTCTTGGAGGGTATTCCATTTGGAAATATCAGTTTTCTCTTCAACTATTTTCGGAAATAGTTGAAAAATGGTGGAAAATGTCAAAACTGCCCAAATCAGTCTTATCTTATCAAATACTAGCCCCGCCTACCCACCCTCTATTTTCTTCGAGGGTATTCCGTTTAGAAATATCAGTTTTCTCTTCAACTATTTTCGGAAATAGTTGAAAAATGGTGGAAAATGTCAAAAGTGCTTAAAAACAGTCTTATCTTTTCAAATACTAGCCCCGCCCACCCACCTTCTATTTTCTTGGAAAGCATTCCTTTTGGAAATATCAGTTTTATCTTCAACTCTTTTCGGAAATAGTTGAAAAATGGTGGAAAATGTCAAAAGTGCCAAAATCAGTCTTATTTTATCAAATACTAGCCCCGCCCACCCACCCTCTATTTTCTTGGAGGGTATTCCATTTGGAAATATCAGTTTTCTCTTGCAACTATTTTCGGAAATAGTTGAAAAACGGTCGAAAATGTCAAAAGTGCCAAAATCGGTCTTGTCTTATCAAATACTAGCCCCGCCCGCCCACCCTCTATTTTCTTATAGGGTCTGTCATTTGCTAAAATCAGTCTTATCTTATCAAGTACTAGCCCCGCCCCCCCGCCCTTTATTTTCTTCGAGGGTATTTCATTTGGAAATATCAGATTTATCTTCAACTATTTTCGGAAATAGTTGAAAAATGGTGGAAAATGTTAAAAGTGCCCAAATCAGTCTTATCTTATCAAATACTAGCCCCGCCCACCCACCCTTTATTTTCTTCGAGGATATTCCATTTGGAAATATCAGTTTTCTCTTCAACTATTTTCGGAAATAGTTGAAAAATGGTGGGAAATGTCAAAAGTGCCAAAGTTAGACTTATCTTATCAAATTCTAGCCACGCCCACCCCTCCTCTTCTCATTCTAACGATTAATTTTATTTCTGTTCAGTATAAGAACATTCATTTTATTCAGATCGATAAAATCAATCACCGAAAAGTAGCCAGGGTGGGTGGGCGGGGGTAATTATGTTCTTCTGCTGAGTGGGACTGGAAACTAATAATAGAATCCAAAAATGAATTCTGGATATCGAAATTTACAAGAAAATGTCAACTATTTTCGGAAATAGTCGAAAATGTCAAAAGTGCCAAAATCAGTCTTGTCTTGTCAATTGCTAGCCCCGCCCACCCACCATCTGTTTTCTTAGAAGGTATGTCATTTGCTAAAATCAGTCTGATCTAGCCCCGCCTACCCGCCCTTTTTTTTCTTCGAGGGTATTCCATTTGGAAATATCAGTTTTATCTTCAACTATTTTCGGAAATAATTGAAAAATGGTCGAAAATGTCAAAAGTGCCAAAATCAGACTTATCTTATCAAATTCTAGCCACGCCCATCCTCCTCTTCTCATTCTAACGATTAATTTTATTTCTGTTCAGTATAAGATTCTTCATTTGATTCAGATCGGATAAAATCAATCACCAAAAAAGAGACAGGGTGGGTGGGCGGGGCTAATTATGTTCTTCTCTCGCGTTGTAGTAGAAACTAATCTAGGATGTCAAAAAAAGTAAAAAACAAGCGCTAATCGTAGTTTTTACTTCCCGAGCGTAAGCAAAGGAAGTATTGTAATCGAGTCCGTCGGCCGACTCTCTACTTTTACGTTTTCTCGATCTTTCATGACCCCTAGAAGACGAAGAAATAGGTCTCCCATTTCCGTCTGTCTGTCCGTCTGTCCGTCCGTCTGCCGTCCCGGATTTTTATTAGACAGATAATCTCCGAAAGTACTCGACCGA